GAAGCTATTTCCTGAGGTAACCTACTCAACCTGTAACTGTGTTACAGTTTACTTCACCTAAATTGAAATCATTAATTCTGTAATGTCTACCCCCTAATTTTTCCCTCTGTTATCACCTATAGCTTGAAATAACCAATATCATCCAATTGTAACAGAAATGTTTTATTCTGTGGCCAAACATCCCCCAACCAAACAATCCTTCACGAAGCATGGATTAGTTCTCACGTATATCCAGAATCTTCTAAATGTGATTTACTTTCTCTAAGTCCCTCAGAATATACATCCCAACACATAAAGCACAATCCTATGCTGACCAGTGCATTCCCATTCCGTTTGCGTGCAGCCTCAGTTGACATTACGTTTTCCAAACAAGAAAAATCATGGTAGTTATTCATATGCGATTTCTAATTTTACCTCTTTGGAAACTCTGGCCTTAAGAGATTAGGACTTATTTGCGTTTATTGAAAGCTCTTGTTTAGGAATATTGGGCTAGTAATGGTGTACAGACAAAAATTGCCCAAAGAGAATCTGGAAGCCATATTAACAGATAGGGGACAGTAGTCTGGAGTAAAATTGTGATATTTAGAATGTCAAGGAAGGAGAGGTTGGAGTAATGGGAATTATTGCAGATGTATGGGCCATAAAGAGACAAGTCAATCCTGAGTATGATTTTCAAGCTCGAGTGATGAGGGAAGTAAGAAAAAATATGGAAGTCACAAGTGGTAGTTTGTTACTGGGAAGAGTGTGTTGCTTTAAATTAAATATACTGAATATTCATGGAAATACCTTATAGACAGGTATAGAAATAAGATGGAGTTTTTTTTGTTAAAGGACAGAGTTTTAGCTTCCTGTGTGATAATTTAAGCCATGAAACAAAGGAACAAAAGGCCTGTCAATGTCCTCTAGCCAGACTATTAGGGACATACCTATAGTTGAATAAGTTGGGTTTATTGCTTGTTGCAAATAAGGGAGACCACACACCATGGGGAACTGTGTGGCATTTCAGTAAGAGAGAATTAGAAAGGACTTTCTATATACAGGATTGGGTCTTGAGTTAGATAATTTGGGGGAAAGTTCAAGAAAGTGAGACTTTTGATTAGAAGATGTTACCAAGAATACTTCTATGATTGGGCATGTTGAATCTTATCTCAAGGGCAAAACTAAAATGAAGCTAAAACTGTAATTTGTAAAGAAGCAATAGTTGCTCCTATTAGCTGATGTGAGGGAGATGTTTGCTATTTTTGTGGTTTACACAGTGACCTTGTTTCTATCTGTGCTTAGACAAAACTACAGTGTGGTCTTGTTTTTGTCTCCCTTCTCTATGGTTATAGAGGGGCCCTGTCTAATGTTGGTGTTGAGTAAAATTGTTTGGTGGGTATGTTTGTCCCAGAGAGGAAGCAAGACTCTTCCTCGTCAACCTAATATTGGATTTATTTGTATAGAAGTAGAAATATTGAGTTGGAATATAGGGTAGATGAAGGAATAGATAACAGGTAAAATCATCTCTCCCTCTTTTTTAGTGAAGATAGGAACAAGATTTTTTGCCAATGTTTGGGGGAAAGGGTGATGAAAAACCCCAGAGGAGGTTGAACTCATCTAAGCAAAATTGTATGGTGAATCAACAAACAATGCTGTTTTTGACTAAGTCACTTATATGGAAAAAACAAGTGCAAGTGTTACTATATGTCATGAATTTATAGAAGATTTAGGTGTAAAATTTGTTTATGTTCTTTAAAAAATGAGATGGCTTGCTATCTTTTTATGTGAGTGGTAAAACCAAACTTTTTTTGGAATACCCCCCAAATTTATAGCTTTTATTTTGGCTTTTGGACTGCATCTCCCAAAGAGGGGGCGAAATCTTGCTGTTTTCTAAAGCTAAATAGAACATCAACTAGGGACAATAGCCATCCAGAAGGCTGAGTTCCATAGTTCCCAGAGCACAGAAAATTAACGCTCCACCCACAACCATAAAAATGGACTCCTCACTCCCACTTGAATTCTTTGTTTTTGTGTATCTAAATAAATAGATGTCTTGCTCATTCCTGGTGTTAGGTGTGATTGAGAGATAACTCACTTAACAGTGGCAGCAGCGGCAGCAGCAGTTTCTGTGCCTGCTGTAGCCTATGCTCTTGTGAACATCAAAAGGAGATGAAGCCTGATTAACCATTTTGAAATCTATCGGATGAGGAGAAGTCCTTACAAAACAACTTTTATACGCTTTAATTAAAAACGTGTTCCGGCAGCTCAGAGCTGAATGGGCTTCAGGGGGAGCAGGGCTGAGCCCGTTGCTATGACGACACCAAATCTTTTCACGCCTGGCCCTTCCTCAGCACACTCTGTGTAGCTCTCTAGCTATTAATTTGCTTCTGTCCCACCTCTCTACTCCCTCTGGTCTGTGAGTCTATAGGCGACCTGACACTTTCCGCCGCTTCTGCTACAGTGCCTCTCTTCTTCCGCTCTCTGTTTCCTGCCTCTTTCCATCACTTACATTTGCCTGAAAAATCTCTTGTTTTCTGTTCTTCTCAAAAACAAGTTGCCCTCAAAAGAGTTAAAAACGCTTTAAAAATTTGTTTTGGTTAAAGCATGGTAATCATTGTTATCCTTCATGACAAATCCAATGTTAAGAGTCTTAAGCGTAGTTGAGAAAAATCTCACTACATTTTGTATTTCAGGTTGAGCACTGGCTACCACACCCTTCCTAAGGGTAAGACTAATGCAAAAAGAGCTGGATTATTCTCTGTTAATGTTAATTTGTGCTTTATTATTAAAATCTCAGATGAGTTCTCAAACAGCATCATCTGATAACAATGGTAAGAGAACATAAGACTTTAAAATATAATACGTATTTACTACAAATCCTGAAGAAAAACTAGACTTTACTTAAGAAGGCTCTTTGAATATTTTAATAGTTGTACTCATTATACAGGGAGTTCAATAAAACCCAACACTGCCACTTGTTTTATCTTATGCATCAAGAACTGGCCCTTCTCAGGGCTCAAGAGCCAACTGGAGGGAAGTTGATATCTTTGTGATCTTGGATTCAATGCACTATATTATTAACAACTTCTTAATGTTACTCTCTGAATGATCAGGGCCCTGCCATCTTTCATTTTGATTACAATTCCAATTTTCCCTTTCACCTGTTCTATTTTATGGGATGAGATAGGTGAATGGAATGCATTGGAGATCATTTCTCATTTCCTCTCTCTACTTAACTCACAGTCTGTTCTTGCCACGATTATACTCCCAAAGTGAATTATTTGTCAGATTAAATAAGCATCTACTGAGTCTAGTTGCCTGTTTCAGTAGAGGTATTGTAACTTAAGAGACAAGGGGTTAATCCTTGGCATGGCACAGTCCCTGTACAGAGGACAGGCAAGTCCTTCAGCACTCTGGGAGCCCACAGTCCAGCTCTTAGTCTGAGATTGCAAATCATAATGCAACTTTCCAGCCCCAGCTTCTGAATCTGTGGAATTGAAATGTAAAAGTTTTACTTCTCTTCAGAAGTCTGATAATGAACTGCCTTGGTCTATTTACTATATAAATTCTGACATAATATATTCCTGATAGGCCACATTTTAAGAAGTTAAAGTCCTATGACTTCTTATCATAAATAAGTCTTAAAAGGTAAAGAGGCTTCATGACCTAGCATTTGGGTGACAGCTCACAAATGGACCAAGTCTTGTGTTTACAATGCTGGTATCATTCAAAAGAATTTGAGGTTTAACTTCACTTTTTCCTCTTAGCATTAAGGAAAGAAAATCAACTGCATTTCCATGTTAAAGGTGTTTTCCACCTGGGTGTTTTATTTGGATCAATCTTAAGTAGGAACTAAAAAAAATAAACATGTATAGACTTGCTAAATAAATAGAAGCATTCAAGTATGTATCTAAAACAGGTTTGAGACCTAATAAAAATGGACCCTAAAGAATGAAAGATAATTTTACCTTAATATCAGAGAAAATATTCATTTGGCAAAATGTTGTGCACCGGGAATATAGAACTTCTCCATTCCACAGATAAACTCAGGAAACGAGAGTCTTTTAGATTTTCACATTTCAGTCTTTTCTGGATCTGGCTTGAGAATGGTCTGAGGGGAATAATCTTGCAGATGAGTGAACTAGGAGATACAAGGAGTCTTTTCTATTGATTCAGTGAATCTCAAGGCTGAAATGTTGTTGTACTTTAGATAACGCTGAATTCTCATTTCTACTGAAATGCTTACATCTTTTTTCCTCCTTAATTCTTTTCCATGGTCAAAGACATCTACATTAAAATCATGGTATCTTTTGTTTAGTAATTCATCCATCCTGTGGGGCCTCATGCTTCATGTGTGCCCTGACACTAGACAAATTGTTTATGTGATAAACTGCAGAACTGTCCTGTTGCTTCTGTGGTCTGGTGGATAAGTGTCAGAATTAAAGCTTTTTTTTGTGGTGGTTCTGAAATATTGTTATTCAGGAAATAATTCTTGCATTGAGTCCCGAGTGTGATTAATCTGAAGTTCTCAAAATATTATGAGAATGAATTCCCAAATAGTTATACCTACATGTAACTTATTCTGATCATTCATATTATGTTGAACTTTTATTCAGATTGCTAATATGTAAAATCTAAATCACTGCCATCTCTATCCTGTGTAAATGCCTTTCTCTTTATGGTATTCCTAAGCATGTGATAATGAATATGCAAAGGAAGCCCCCGCAGTCCACCAGGTGTGGGGTATGTGTGCTACAATTCCAGACAAAGATTAAACCTCCACTTGATGTTGCAAGAGATTTTATAAAAGGTGACTGAAGTAAGTCACTGCACTGTAAGTGAACCATCACTAAGATTCAGCCTATTTTTTAATAAGTTAATAAAAAGTAGGCTAAAGGTCCAAATGAGAAGTCACTCATTTTTTGATAACCTGTAGGATCGGGAGTTTAAAACTCATCTAGAGAATAGATTTTCCCATAGACCTCTTTATTAGACACTAGGAATATCTGCAAGGTAAATGTTTTACATCCTTTTTGAGGCAAATGAAAACTGTAAAGACTTCACAAAGGTAAATATGTGGTTTAATGCAAGTTATATTCAGGATGCTGCTCTGTAAGACAAAAGAAAAATTTTTAAGAGGGAGGAAGAACTGAAGTCTTTCTCTTTAATCTTACCTACCGCAGTGGAATTGTTTTGTCTCCCCATCCCCACCCCCAGTGCCTAGGCCTAAAAATAGGTCAGAGTTCCATGTAAATTTGTAAAGGTTACTCTATTTTATGTTGAAAAGAATTAAATAACTAAATCCTTAAATCTCCTGATGAGAACAGCCCTCACTGAAAGTGTTAAACCAGAAACATTTTTGTTTGTTTGTTTACCCCAAATCAGCAGATCACACAATTGGTTGCTTTCTTGCTTTGAGAACATTCTCTAGATGGGAAGGTCTGGTAGAAGCTCCTCTAAGTCAGAAAATCCATTAGTGTAAACATGTCTAGATATCTCTCCAGATCTCTCTATATACCTCCCATGGCATGTCTGATTCTCTGATGGTCAACAGTGGATTGCTTCAAGGTTGAGGAAGTCGTGATTGATTCCCTGATGAGGAAGAACCAATCCAGTTACTACCACAGAACATTCCTAAACGCGCTCTAGTTTTTTTTTTTCTTTTAAAAAGTTCTTTAAGTTGTTTTATTATTACTCTTTATCTGATTGAAATAAAACTGCAGTACACACTTTCCCCAGTAAGTGATGAGGGAGAAAGGATTGTGCAGGAAACATACTCAGTAATGACTTGAACTGGTATTTTAGCTACAAAGCTACAGAGAAGTCTTCTTTGATGATGATTCTTAGGGATTCAAAATCTCCCTCCCTCTCTCACCTGCACACACACACACACACACACACACACACACACACACAAACATTCACCCGCATCTGGAGGTCAGTGTTTTAGTCTCTTTTCACCTCCATACATTCAGAAGAGCAGAGAAGCAGGGGCTGGAGGGGCCTGAGAGGACAGGGATGTTGGTGGAACCTGGGAGGAGGCATGAATTGCCAGGGAGCGGAAGGGACGGTGCATCCTGCCCGGCGTGGACCCCAAACCAGGGGGCCGGACGTGGTGTCCCGCTGCCCGGGTCAGGCTGCCTGGGCGCCTTTCCGCTATTACCGGCGTGGACGCGGATGGGGAGAGCCTGAGAAGAGGGGCCCGGTTTACCGGAGCTAGGTTGAGAGTGAAGCTGGCTCCAAGCCCAGGGCACATTGGGCGGCGCGGTCGAGGTGTCTAGAGCCCAGCGTGCTCAGCCGGGGGCGCAGGGCGGCCTTACTGGCCCTCGCGCGGGCACTTCGGGGCCTGCCTCGAAGCTGAAGGCTGGGAGTCAGGCGAGTAAACACCCAGCCCGCGGGGGCCGCCCTCGGGAGATGGCTGCAAAGGGGGGAACGAAAAATAAATCCAACGGGAGAGCTGCCCCGCCCTCCCCGCGCGGCCTCCGCGGGCAGCGCCACGGGTCCTGCAGCCCCGTGGCCCCCGCGCCCCAGGGGGCGCCGCAGCCCTCCGGGCAGCTCCGACCGCGCCTCTGCGCGGGTCCCCGGGAGCGCCCAGCGGCCGCCCGCCCCGCCCCGCCGGGCCCCTCGGGCGGGCTGGAGCCTTGCTTTGCTCTTTTCGTTGGCCAAGCACAATTGTGTTATTGGAGATAATGAATTCAATCCCCATCAAAGGGCATTAGGCTCGCCCGGGCCTTGGAGTTGCTGGTGCCTTTTTTTTTTTTTTTCGAAGCCGGGAATGAAAGGCAGAGGAGAAAAAAAATTCTCTGGGGGAGCCTTCCCCCTGATCGCAGCTTTTGAAGTGAAGGGGCCCGGGCATTGTTGTTCACCTCGCGGCCCATACGGCTGAAGAAAGCCCTGGCTTTTGATGCTCTGAGAACCGCCTCGGCAATGAGCAGCACGTCGGGCCGCGCGGCCTGCGGGCAGCATATGTCTCCGGGCGCCCTGGCACCGTCTGGCAGGCGAGGCCGCAGGCCCGGCGGGGAGGGCGCTCCGCCGAGAGGCCGGGACGGGCGACCAGGTCCTCACCCAGCATCGGGACCCCAGGCCCCAGGCCTCTTCACACCCCTTGGCGGAGCGCAGGGTGCCCGCCAAGGCTGATCGGCCCAAACCTCCACCGGGAGGCCAGACTGCCCGCTGGGGTTGGGGGGAGGCCGGGGTCTCTCCGAGGGCAGGTTGCCGGGCTGAGTGAATTCTTTATTTTTAACCACTGGGACCCAGTATCTAAGGTGGCGGACTTGGCTAGAGCTTGAGGACTAGGTAGGACTCAAGGGGCACTGCTAGGACTCGGAGCTGGAACGCTCACCTGGGACTCTGGCGGCGGCGCTCGGCCGGGGGTGGGGTGGGAGGCGGAGACAGCCGCGGGCGCGCGGCCGCTCGGCGGAGGGGCCGGGTCCTGGGCTGTCGCCGGCTCTGGCCTCGCAGCTCTGAGCACACGACGGCACATTAGCATCAGGTCACCTTTCTTTAAAACTTGTTGCAGGTGTTTAAGTTAACTTTGGGCGTCCTCATGGTGAAATTTCCCTACCTCGATTCGCTACCCCCGTCCTGCCCCGCCTCTGAGCTCTTTGGCTCGAGGGTCAGCAGCCAGAAAGCTGTGTCATTCCCTTCTCCCTCTCCATCTACAGCCTCCTCCTCCCCCCCTACTCCAAGGATCTGGGTTATCCGCCCCATTAATATATTAGCCAGGCATAACACAAAGGAAGCGTGTGTCAGCAGAAGGCAGTGTGACTCCTGGGAGAGGCGAGGAAACCTGGAAGATGTCCTGGGCCCCAGCACGGCTCATTGCAGTCTGAGTTGGCGAATCGGCCTCCACCTAGCAAAAGCGGTGGAGGATGCGGCCGGAGTTGGCGCTCCAGGTTGAGCGGCTGTTGGGCTGGACATTTATAGCTGGGCGGAAGAAATGAAACCCAGGGCTCCCAGGAGGGACTCAGAGCTAGTGGGATGTTCCAAAAATGCCCCAGTCTCCTAAGCCAGGCAAATAAAATCAGCTGTCCAGGGGGCAATGCACTGGGCCAGCTCCTATTTCCTCCCTCGCATATATAATGGGCCCTTAAAATTAAATACTGTATGTTAAACGAAACAAACCACTACAAAGCCCCTTACATTCTTTCAATGAAATTGTGTTTTAAAATAACTCCTTACTGCCAGGGAGAGAAACAAAATACACTGACCCTGAGACATGAATAGACAAGCAGAGGAGTAACAAATTTCATGGGGGACATGGGGAGAAATTAAGAAGATTTCCAGTTTAAATAATTGTTCCCTATTTCCAGGCAATCCTTTGCGTGTGTGTGGAGGGGGGGAATTTCCAGGTTGTTTTTCTTGGCTGTGGGGGGAGGGGAAGGGAGTCCCGATGTATAATCTTGAAGAGAAGTTTAGAGAAGTAGAAAGTCAACACAATGCAACCTCTCACTGAGAAGTCTGAATCAGGCCTCCCCCGGCGGGCGTCACTGGCGGGGTGCTGAACTTAATTTCCCCAGAGGCTTGACCAGCATCACACCTGGATGCCAAGTCCTTGAGAATGATTCTAGTTCAGCCTTTTCCTTTCTGGATTTTTAGGGAGACTATCTTGCTTCTGTACAGCAAGATAACTGAAACTAAGAGAACCCCAAAATGTCATTAAATGGCATCTAGAAGAAGGGAGGCTCCTCACTTCCCAAGGGTGCAAGGGGGAGGGGAGCTCACGCTCACCGTGTGCTTTGCCCTTACACTGTGCACTCACAGTTATATATAATTGGAGAAATGAGGAAGTTAGAAGAAGAAAGGTAGTTAAGTGAGGACTTTCCCCTTGTCAGGTGTTTAAAAATGTTTATAATAGAAAAATGCATGCATTTTATAAGTTAAAAATCGAACTGCATGGCTGTTTTCCATTGCTTGCTAGAACGATGGCGGGAGGGGGGGTGGGGGGGGTGGGGGGGATAAAAAAGTGAGGGCTGCAGTCCGAGCTGGCCAAAGTTCAATGAAGCAAGTTGGGCTGGAAGCTAAAAAGAGGAAAACCCATGGAACCACTACACCCTCCAACTTAACTCTTTGGGGGTAAAAACGATTTAAAGTAATCTGTTCTGAAGTGTTATTTGGATACAGTAAACAGCATCATGGGTTGAAAATAAAACTTGCATGCATAAATAGCTACTTTATAAAACCTTTTTATCTCCCCAAATGGATTCTGTTTCTAAACAGGAAGGTTGTAAAATCTTTCAAGTTGTTTTATTTTCTTACACTCTAACTCTCATGAGTATCTATTGATGCTAATGATTATTTGTTTGAGAAAATTTTGCTTTTAAATGTCAGTATAATTTGATTACATAGTTAGCTCAAAGTAGCTTAAAAATAATCACCTTTCACACATAATTATCTTAAGGTAATTAGGCATTATCTTAACTCCATTTAGTTGCAAAACACATTTTATTACAATTCAAATAAACAACTAAGATTTAATTTTTGAAGCTATATTTTACAAGTGTTTTAAATATCTATTAAATGATTTAAGCAATTTTATTTTTCAATGAGTTTCTTTTTCTCCTTGGCATACTGAAGTATCACATTAAAATACATTATAGCTAAATGTCCTACAATATTACTGCTAAATCAACAGAAAACCAATTGATCTCCAGGAAAGGTTAATGAATTTGGGCTACAGGTCTCTTACTTTGGCCCACATTGAAAGAAATTTGTATTGATTGTGGCAGTTCTTTTGCAAAGAAATTTAATAAGCATTTCCATGGAATCGAGACCAATTTTTTAAATGCCAGAACAACAAAGTTTAAAGTTTTCAACTCTCTAGGAATTATTTTGTTATTGCCCATACACATGTATTAGACTTCTGAGGAAAATGTTTTCTATACCGTCAATGAAATCAGTCAAGTATCTAGCCTTCAGAAAATGGGGAAAAAAGTTAAGAACTCTAATAGGATTTCGTTTGTTTTAATCCCTCCTCCTATAATAATTCTCACCAGTTTATTCTGCTATGAGGGAGGTCACAAATGGACAAAGGAAATTAAATTTTATCTTGGATTTAAAGACTGAATTAGCTACGTAGAAAACGGAGCTAGCTGCCTTCTACTTGCGAACACTTCTGGGTGGTTTCTGCCGAATTAGAACTGGTGAGTTTTTCTTCTCTTTGGTTACCCTCTCTTTTTATGATGTTAAAAAATGTTTCAGACCTGTTCTTCCCAGACGCAAGGTGAAAGGAACAATTGAAGGTTCCCTCCCCTGCACTATACTCACTCCCCAAACATTTTTGTTTTTCGTTTTCTAAACGTGTTTGCTGGGTGGCTCGTTCAGTGGCTCTAGGGCCTTGGGAGCTTTACACTTGGGTCAGATGGACGTTTCCCCTCCTCGCTCCCTCCCTCCCCCTTCCCAAGACCCCTCCCCCACCTCGAGCGAAATTCCTAAATAAAGAGAGCCGGGGGACCGCGGCAGAGCGGTCAGCACCCCCTTTCCGGCCCTCGTCCCCTGGAGCATCCGAGGTGAAGAAATATGAAAACACCCAGACAAAAGGGGGGAAGGCGCGGGTCGCGGGAAGAAGGCGCGCTCGGGCAGGGTCCCCGCACGCCCTCGGAACCACAGATGGTTTCCTCCTGGCCCAGGGGCGCGGCGCCCCGGCCCCGGCGCTCGGGCGTTTGTGTGTCCGGGTTTCCGAGGAAGGGATTACGCAGCGGGAGCGGCCGCGGCAGCGCCGACCGCTGGGGCCGGGGAGCCGTAACCGGGCGGCTGGCCTTCTTTGTTGACTTTTGGGTCTCAGGCTCAACAGAAGATTTATTCTCTGGGAGGGGAAAATGCTCCAACAATGAAGAACTAACTGCACTTGTCACCTCGAGAAGCTTGCGGCGGTCCTGCTGTCCTCCTTCCCCGGCAACCGGCAGCCCTGGGCGTCCCGACCGCGGGTCGCATTTTTCTGGGCCCAGAGGTCTGGGGATCGCGGGAGACCCACGAAGCCGGAGCTGGGCCAGACCTGCTCCCCGCGACCCCGAAGTTCTAGCTTCCCAGGCGGGTCTCCAAAGTAGTTCCTCGGCCCCCCCACCTCTTCAAAACCAGAAAAAGTCTCCGCCAAGTAAGCGGAGTGAAGGCCGACTGAAGCCTGGTGCGGCGAAGGCAAGACACTGATGTTGCTGATATGCTAAAGAAAAGGGCCCGTCTCGGAGGGGACAGCACACGAGTTAGAAGTCTTAGATTTCAGTGGGACCGGGACAATCCGAGGCCCAAGCCCTCGCCTCCCATACTATTTGGAAATTGAATTTGCCAGCCACGTTTGTTTAGCCTATATAAGTATGAATGAATAACTATTGGAATTGAAAGCTTTTTCGTCTCTTTGGGATTTTGACGTCCTTCCTAGGCCTATAAATTACGTTTTGAAATTATTCAAACAGGCAATTTCCTTGCCCTTCTCCTTTTATTAGCTGAAGTGAGTGGGAGAGGGGGGTGGTGAGATTTCTGAATTTTTCTCAAGTGCTACGTGGCACCGCTTCTCTCATATGGGGAGGCAATTACGCGATAATTAAGCGGCTCACACAGATCTTTTTATCTTGTCTGCGGTGTGGAGTAGGGCGATCAAAGCAAAGGCTGCCCAAGTTCAAGCCCTAGTGAGGATGGAGTTCATACACAAGGGATCAGGCAGTCCAGCCTCTGCTCCGGCTGGTGGTGTTATTGTTGACGTCAATCCGAACAAGACTTACAAAGAAATAGGTGGACTGGAAAGTGAGGCTGCTATCCAAGGAGATTAATGATTTTGTGATTCCGAGCAACTATGGGGTGTGAAGTTGCCTTTAAAATCTTGTTGAAAGGCAATCTAATAATTAAGCTCCTAGGAACAATCTTCTTAGAAACAATATTAAAAAGCATCTTCACAAAATACAAAATAGTAGCTATCCCCAAATGCCCTCCTAAAACAAGCTTCCCTTGCAGGAGTGAATTAACTCTCCTCTTCCCACTCCTCCAAAGCTACCATGATGGCTACATTTTGTTTCTCTTTTAATGAGAAGAGGGCTCAGCATCTGTTATACACAATTTTATCAGCCACAGCTACATTTTATTCTCACTCAAATACTTCTCAGATAAAGGAAAAATGATATGTTGGAGAAGGGGGGGGAAAGTAAATTAACAATACTCGATTTCATAGTGGATGGGAAGACCCAGAGGAAACACATAAGGCTTAAGCCTATGTTTATAAAGATGAAGTAAACATGACCAGGAATAAAGAATTGTAAACATTGCAATTCTGGAAATATTAAACCAATTTATCTGTCCATTTTAATTCAGTTCCTTTTACTGCTTCTTAGTAGCTACATGTTCATTAAAATCATAGAACAATTTTACTTTAGACTATTCTCCTTTCCAAAACTTTAAAAAAGTGTCTTATTCTGAATATCCATTTTGGATTTATGTGAAGGAAAATAACAGAAATCCTTTTTTGTTAACATTTGATTTATTTAAAGTCCTTAATTGCAAATGATCAAGAACATTTTCCACTGCTTAAAATCTGTTATTATTTTTGTTATTTAAATCAAAATATTTTCATTACAATCACATGATAAAAATTAACATTTTAATTTGTACTTTTAACCATCAATTAAAGCAATTTCAGCTGTAAAGAAAAAGAATAAACCATGCAATAAATTAACATTGAGAAAGCAAAGAGAAATAATAAATGAAACCCGTCTGGCTATACTAACACCATGTTCAACTGTGGAAAGTGCATTAACACTGGATGAAACAAGCACACGATGGCAATAATTAAAATGGCCACAATCAATACGATTTTGGAATCTTGGACCAAATTTTGAAATACGGCTCTCTATAATTTATCTCTCCTCCCACATTGTAATATTCCCTTTTTTTCTCTGGAAAAAAATATTCTTTAAATGGCATACACACATAGAAGCTAATATTATACACGTTCTGTGACCTCCGAATGACATGACCATGGGACCCTGGAAAGCAAGGAGGAGAGTTCTTGAAGAGGGCGATTCCTAAGGAATTGATTCCCAGGGCCATACGCGAATAAAGAGGACAAGGGGGTTGAGGTCCTTGTAACTTCTTGGTCAGGCAACTCTTGAAAATGTAGCATGTATATCACCTATCTATTATCTCTATATGTTATGTAAATATATGGAGGATGTCTACATATCTGAGCATGTGCATAATTGTACACAATATATATGTATTTCATTTAAAGACATCTGCTAACTGAATGTATCAGAAATGTAAACTGAAAAACAATGGCTCTGATGTTTATAGTCTGTTTTCACGTCTTGCTGCATAACAGCAGTATTCTTTCAATAATTTTAAGAGCCTAGTGTCTACTTGTTTCTTCACCATATCAATTCTTATGGTTAAGAGTATTGCCACAGACCTGTAAACTTGTGGGGCTGCATCAGTTAAGGAGGGGGAAAAAGCACAAACAAATATTATACAAACTCGACCATCTTCCATTTTTTCGTTGGGTTTTTTTTTTTTGATTTTTGGTTTTTTGTTAAATAAACCCTGCACAGACTACAATGTTGTCTGGAGGGGAATGAGGGAAGAAAGGGTGGGGCCAAGGAAGGAGGAGGATTTTATATATACACTTGTGGTTCATTAAACTTCACAGAAAAAAAAAATGTTGGTTTGGGGTTGGCTGTCTTTGTAATAATGTACACAACAAGTTTGGAATACAATAATAAAGTAACAGTCTTTTGCACTGGGGAAAAGATTGTGCACGAAAAATGAAATAAAAATAGGTGCTAAGATTTAATGATGCTGTTATTGGTTTGATATATGTGGTTTTGTTTGCTGCTGATTTTTTTTTTCTCTGCTACCAGCATGGCAAATGCCTGCTGAGCCCCCAGTCCCAGGAGCTAGGAAGTGTTTAGGACGGGTCTGGAATACACACCTTGGTAGTAGGCCGGTTCCAGGGCTGAGGGCTCGATGGGGCTCCTGGTGGCCACGGAGGCGCTGCCAAGAGGCAGGCTGGCAGGCAACGTGGCGCCATAGGGCGAGTACTGCAGTGCCTGCTCATACGCCTTGAAGTCCAGCTTGTGCTGCTGCTCCGAGGAGGACATGAGGTTATTGATGGAGAAGGGGTGGTTGAAGGAATAGTGGGGATCCCCTTTCAGGTGCAGCTGGGACTCGTGGGGGGCCAGGCCATGTGCTGGGTGAGAGGGGGGCACCGATGCCAGCGCCCCGGGCCCGGAGCTTATGGGGGGTGCCGATGAGGAGGCTGGAGTCTTCAACTCCGAGGCGCCCCCTGCCGCCGTCGCCCCACTGTGGTCCAGAGTCTGGGGGCTGGCGGCGGGCCCGGCGGCCGGCGCGCCCTCTAGCTGGCCCGCCTTACCGTGCACGCCCCGGTGAAGGGGCGAGTCAGCGCCGGGGTTGGCGGCGCCCGAGGGGTCCTTGCGGCTCTCCGGGCCGCCCTTGGCGCCGCCGGCCCCACTCCCGCCTCCTCCTCCGCCGCCGGTCCCTGGCTGCTTCTCGCACTTGAAGCGCTTCTGGCGGCGCAGGTAGCAGCCGTTCTCGAACATGTTCCCGGAGTCCGGGTGCAGCGTCCAGTAGGAGCCCTTGCCCGGCTTGTCCGGGGAGCGCGCCACCTTCACGAAGCAGTCGTTGAAGGACAGCGAGTGGCGGATGGAGTTCTGCCAGCGCTGCTGGTTCTGCCGGTAATAGGGAAAGAGGTCCATGATCCACTGGTAGATCTCGCTCAGTGTGAGCATCTTGCTGGGCGCCTGCTGGATGGCCATGGTGATGAGCGAGATGTAGGAGTAGGGCGGCTTGGCGTGCGGATAGCTGCGTTTGAACGTCTTGGCATCGCCGCCGCCGCCTGCGCGGCTGCGGCCCAAGTTGGACGGCGCGTACGCCATGGGGCTCATGCAGGGGTTCATGGCGGCCGCGTAGGGGCTCAGGCCATTCATGGAGGCCGCGGGCTGCGCGCCCATGGCGCCCATGCCGCCGGGACTCAGCGCCGTCCCCATGGCCGTCACACCCGCCGCGGTCATGCTGTTCATGCCACCCGCCGAGCCGCCTGGCATGCCGGCCACGGCGCCGGGACTCAGGCCAGCCCCCAGGCCCGGGTTGGCGTACGACATGTTGAAGGAAGCCGGGGTCATGTTGCCGCTCGTGGTCATGGTGTTCATTGTCATGTAGGTGTTCATGGAGTTCATGGAGCCCAGGCCCGAGTTCATGTTGCTGACTGGGACGGAGGAGTAGGCCTGGAGCAGAGACAGCGGGCGAAGAGGCCCCGAAGGGCGGGGTTAGTAGTGGGCGCAGGAGGGCGGCCGGCCCGGCGAACAGGGGGCGAGCGGAGACCATTTCTGGAAAGCACGGGACACTCCCACCCGGGGCAAACTGTTAGGCGCCTTCCCAGACCGAGCAAAGATGTTTTGCACCGCGGGGGGGCGGGGGGAAATCCTAACACTGCAGGCATGAAAGATAAGCGCTCACAGAAAACATGTCCCCGGGAAGAAGTGTAATCGCCTTACACGCCGGGCTCAGAGGCTGGTTTCCAGGGCCCCTTCATTACCTCCTCCATCCACTTCAGGCGGTATCCCAAGTCTCCACCCCAATCAGACTGAGCAAAGAGCTCTTTGGGGGCAAATCGTCTTTAAAAATCCCAAACAGAATTAATCTCTGACCTTCTGCTTATTCACATCACCACTAAGGTGGTGCAGGGGGTTCCGCGGCGCACGCCCGCTGAGCAGGCCACGAGGCACAGCTTCTGTCCGCTGCCCCAAAGTCTACCAGGCCCAGCTGACCACACAACGGTCTTAGTTGTGCTGGGTGGTTGTTAATGCAACTCTCCCTGATAGAACAAATCATCTATGGCCATAGGACCCCCGGAACCATTTATTTTCCAGCAACTGGCGTTATTGTCTTAGAAGTTTTCGCTAAGGGATGAGTTTTTGTCGTTTATTGTATTTAGAAGTAGTATTTTCTACCTACTTGCAGAAACTGTAATATTAAAAGGGAAGCAAACTCAGAAGTTAAATAAGTTTTGGGAAAATAAAACAAGAGGAGTGCATAATATCAATATGCTATATACATTTAACTTCAGCATGAGTGTACATGTACACCTTTGCAAGCCACTCAAAAACTTGCATTAATTTTCTTACCAATTTACAGCCTCTTAATATTTGAAAATTTGTCGAAATAATGATCTACTTTTCTCCCGCATACTGATATACTGCTGCTGATCATTTCAATGCCTGGCTTTTGGAACTACATGAGTAGTTTTGAATAGTTTAAAATTTCAAAATCAAACTCTTATCTCCTCTTAATGCTATTCTACTTACTCTGAACTTTCACATGTAAGAAAGCTCATTGCTAGGGGTCTTAATGGACTGGTGGGTCCAGAAAACTGCATCAGAATCAACCCTCTGGAAGAGCTCTGAGTTTTTAAAATCACCACGTGAAAACCTTTATTAACAGCAATTTGGGAATACCTTAGGTACAGTATTTTAAAAATACAGAGTGCAGATATGTTAAAACTATTTCTCTGATAATTTAATAAAGAATAATGATGTCCTCACATTTATTTCCATCAGCAAATGACTCCATCTGAAAACATAAGAGGTGAAGAAATAGATGGAAATAGGAATACCCTGTGAGCCATTACATGCAAATAAACTCAGAGGTAAATTTGTGAATATATAGATCTGAAGAAAATAGTTGCCATCAAAGTATTTCCTGACTCTATAGTTCTTCTGTCTTTGCCGTAAACTATTTTTTTACTTTGGGGTTTATTTTCTTTTCCTCTCCCAAAGATTATCCAAAGCAGTTTCAAAACGCAGTTTCAATAATGGTAATTAAAGTTTGGGGGGGAGGAGGGGTAATCGCTAGCTGTTTCCAAAAAACTACTTTAAATAGGGGGTAGCCCTGCCCGTACCTGGTTTTCCTTGTAATCCTTTTGTGCACTTTGTAAAACAAACCCCATGAACGTGCCACCGAGGGGACAATGAAGAGAAACAGGTTCTCGGTCCCAAGTTCTGGAAGAAGATTCTGTTCGCATCAGCGCCACCCAGCGGTGCTGGAGACGAATGAGCACACTTCCCCCAAACAGGGCTTTTGAAGAACCAAGTTTTATAAAATTTAGGAATCGTTTCATTATTGAGACATTCAACTTATCTAAAGAGCGCTTTCATCAGAAAACGACTCCAAATTTAACAGCGGGCGAAGAGACCACCCTGCAGCACGTTCTGGCTTTCTCAGAGAGGCTTCCAACTCATGCCGGCGCCCGCCAACAACGCCGAAACCCGGGCTGGGCTCCGGCTCCCGCTCTCCTCAGGGAAGAAGCAAGCGCTTCCCAGAGGGGGGTGTTTTCAAAGCCCGAAGTTTTCTAAAACTCTCTCCCCCGCTGCGAGAGCCGGGGGTGAGGGAGAAGATAGGGCAATGGTTCTGGCTCCGGGTCCGGCCGAGGCCGGGGCCGCTCCGGCAGGCGGGCAGCC